AAAATTAGCATAAATTTATGGAAATGTTTCTAGAAAAAGAAGGAGAATCAAGACAATGAGAAAAAATTTCCTTCTACGCTTTTTTTTCTCGCCCACCTGGTGAAAAAATTACAGCCAGAAAAAAGAATCATCACTTTTTTTAAAGTTTCCTCAGATCTCCCTAAAGGAGCGTCAGGACCTCCCTTACGAAAACCTCGAGACTTCCTCCAGCGATAGTCACTTGAGGAAAGTTGGAGGTGATCCAAACGAGGTCTCGAGTCGAGGAAGATGCTAAAATTCGGGCCGATATTTTTATTAAAAATTTGCTTTAAAAATGTCAAGAAATTACATTATATTTCATTAATCAGGTACCTTTCAAGTGCTCATCAATACCTACCCCATCAGACACTGCAGAAGTTTTCAAATCTCTCTTGGATTGAAAACGAAATAAATGTAGGTATAAAAATCAGACTATTCTGCTCCTTTTATTTGTTTGTGATCATTTATACGAAAAACTTCATGATATCACACCAAAAACACTTCCGTGTAAAAATGACCCGCCAAGCTAAAAATATAAATATTCGTCGCCTCAAATGCAATGATATCACATGAAGTAGACGCCAAGCGAATTTTCTGAATATAAATTGTAAGTTTCTCCTCCCCTCAACATTATTACCGGAAAAACAAAAATTATAGACAAAAAAAATAATTTAAAAAAGGGATACAAATTTATCATCTTTTTTTGTAGTACAATTGTACAAAAAAAAAATTATAAATTTGTATCGGTTTTTTTTTAAATTATTTTTTTTTGTCTATAATTTTTGTTTTTCCGGTAATAATGTTGAAGGGAGGAGAAACTTACAATTTATATTCAGGAAATTCGCTTGGCGTCTACTTCATGTGATATCATTGCATTTGAGGCGACGAATATTTATATTTTTAGCTTGGCGGGTCATTTTTACACGGAAGTGTTTTTGGTGTGATACTAATAAATAGTATATAGTCCAGAGAGGAAAAATTTATAAAACAGTGAGTTTGGTCGAATCGTGTCAAGAAATCAAATTTTGAAACATTAATGGAAAACTTTCTGCTAAAAATTAATGAATAAAATGTATACTCTTCAGACTGATTTCATTAATACAAGACGGGACGCATTTGCCAAAATTACGTTCATTTGTTGAATTTTGGCGGTATTTGACCTTAATCATTCATCGCCCTATTCTTATTTAGTATACATTTTTATTTTATAATTCTGAGGAAATGGAGTTAAATAGAAAAAAATAACAATACCAAAGTGAAGAAGACGCTAAGGAAAGGGTAATAAGGGGCTTGAAAAGGAACAAGAGCGCTCCAAATTGCTGAGGTCCTGTGGGAGAACAAGGTTTTATGGCGGTTAGGCGTCGCAGGGCGCGAGAGACCGCTGCTAAAGCGGCTCTTATCTATACATGTAAACATACAATAGTTTGTCGTTACACTCTGTATAATTCAGATTGTCCTAAGAAATGTTCATTCAGTCGGAAAACATGAAACACGCAGGACAAAAACCGCCAAAAGTGTCGATTTTGGTGCTTTTTTTCAGTTTTCCGCTTGTGCGTTTTATTTGGCCGTGAACAGAATACATTGCATCTAGTTTGTTGAAAATTCAACGATAACTTAAACTATAGAAATAATCACTTTTGTCGTCTGATCAACTCCTGGCAAGCCACTGGCCATAATCCGCAAAAAAGACCGATTTTAAGCCATTTTTGCCAAATTTGTCAACTTTTGGGCAACAATTTTTTTTTAAACGTTCAAATTTGGATTCAGCGCCAAAAATACATAGGAAACCATGGAATTGATGTTACCCGGTGTTTTTGGAGGCTAAAACTTCTGTCTGCCTGGACTCAAGAAGCGTCGTCGCTTCATAAAGCTGTTTACAAAAATTATGATACCTCGCAAACAAAAAATTTCCTTGCAAGCTATAATATATCGATGGATGCGGAATCGAGCGAACTATCGATTAGACAACTCAAAAGATAGCCTTTTTGGATAATTGAGGATTTGTAAGATTTGTCGAATTTAAACATCGAAAATTTGGCAAGAATAATGCATGTTAAAATTAATGCAACATTAAAAACATGGTCATTTCCTACAATTGCGCAATTTTTAGAGAATTTTTGTTAAAACCGCAACTTCATGGCTCAATTCTAATGCCACTTACGGTATTTGCCTGCTTTCAACTTGGCAGCGCTGTAGCGCGCGGGAAAAACTTTGGGTGAACTTGCCTTAAGCCGACTGCACACACAGCAAGTGGGGATTTGCAAGTGACTGCAAGTGGCTCATCGGTTACATCGGTGAGCGTGCAAACTGCGCGGGCCGCGCAGTTTGCACGATCAACACTCAACACAGCGGCACCGAGGTGCCATTTGCAGGTCCCAAATTGCTGTGTGTGCAGTCGGCTAAAGCCGGAAAAAGGCGTGTCTTGTGATAGGGAACATCATATCCAACTCCGGGCAAAATCCAAGAGGGGGGCGAGGGGGGGGGGCCCGCCAAAATCGCCGATTTTGAATAACCCTCTTTCTTATGAGTGAACCTTCATAACTAGCATGGATTCATCAACATAAAGATTTTCTGAAACTGTGGTATGGTTTGAGTGCATCATAATTGGCTTGCCATAAAAGGGTTTTCTGAAGGGTTCCTAGAATTCAGCTTCAGAGTAGACAGGTAGATGTTGCTCACTCACTGTGGTTTGGGAAATCTTGACTCTAATATTGATACACAGTGGAAAAAAACCGTACATGCCTTTTATGTATAGACTGATTAGTGACTACGTCATTCGACATGATCTCGAACTCTTGGTTCTGTAGTGTTCCTACTTATACCCATTGTAAGGAGCTATGCCATGTTTCTTTTTCATATCTATCTCTATTCATTGGCCTAAGTAGCGCCTGTCTCATCATTTCATCTTTCCAACCCTGTGCCAACCCAACCCAACTCGACACGACGAACTGTACAAGGATCACTTCCTACCGTTTGTCTGGTTGCACAGTGTCATCTTACAAGGAGTAAAATCGGACGAGTTGAAATTTTTTTTTTTTCTGTGGAAGTTGGGGAAGGGGGGGGGGGCTGCATGGGGCTTAAGCATTTTTTTTAAACAATTCTACTCGTACATTTTACATTGCGGGTACCTAATCATTTTTCCCCCCATTTAGGTCGTTAAATGCCAAAAAATGACCTGATTGAGGGAAAGGGAGAGGATAGTTGGAGAGGTGGTAAGGCTATTTGGGGGTAGTGGGGCGGTAATGCAAATGAGGCTAAGAGTATTTAGAGCTCTTTTTGCCGCAAGTTATAAGATTTTTCAAAGCAGACACGAGTATTGTTGCATTGATACTAAGTAATATTAATACCACTTCAAATGGGAACACCTGAAAATCCCGATTTTAGGGTCATAAATAACGTAATTTGGAGGGGAGGGGGCGAGCAGGGGGAAGCAAGGGGGTCCGAAGTCTTAGGTACACTCATTGTCGGGCATCTTACGATAGTTCAAATTTAATACAACCTTTTTTTGCGCTCAAGCTAACATTTAAAGCGCTAAAGTCAAGAAAAAACCGAAAATACCCAAATTTGACCCTTTCCCCCCTCCCATGGGTTTAGCACAACTCGGATTCATGGGGTCTTTTGTGTGAGCGTCCTTTATACCCGAATGGATAACTTTCCCGATTTTTCTCGCTATTCAAAGGATTTTGATCCGCCACATCTGGACTATTCATAAAAATTCAAGTTTTCTTGGGGGAAAAAGCCGACTTATTAGTAGGTAATGGTTTGGTCAAGAGGACTTCAGCAAACAATTTGATCACCGTTTTGAAACTCCCGATTCCATCCAGCAAGATAGACACTACACTAAATATAACTAAGCTAAAATATGTTGCCAAATGTGGCGACACTTCTTACTAATGACTTTTCTCCCTTAATAATATCCATTTCCGTTAAAACTAGCAATTTTCTTGAACATTAGAATCTCCTTTCAGCAAATTTTGCCAAAGGATCCACGGTTAGTACTGATTTATTACTGCGAATAGCTCTTTTGCTTCAAAATCAGGGTTGGCGACGCGTAACCGACAAGACATTTGCGGCCTTTTAAGTCTCATATTATTAAATACAATCATAATTTATCATGCTTTTAAGCATGGACAACTTCAGGGACATTACTTCTATTGATTTACCGACTTAGCTTTCAATCGGTTTGCCCCAAATCGTTTATAATGTGCAGCAACACTACTATTCCTTTTGTCGTGAATCACCCTGATACAACTGCAAAAATACGTTGCCAAATGTGGCAACATTCTCTAAATCGACTTTTCTTGCTTAAAGATAAACATTATAGTTCAAAATGGCAATTTTTTTGAACATTAGAGTCTCTTTGCTGCAAATAATGCCAAAGAATCCATGATCAGAACTGATTTACTACCGCAAATTGCTCTTTAGCTTCAAAATCGGGGTTGGCGATGCGTAACCGACTGGACATTTTTGAATCATAATTTAAGATACTTTTTAGCATGGATAAGTTCAGGGACATCATGTTCATTGATTTATTAATTTGGTTTTCAATTGTTAAGTATGCCCTAAGTTGTTTATAACCCACGACAACACGGCTATTCCTTTTATCGTGAAATCATCCTTACGCACCTGCTATGCTTTATGGGAAGTATCAAAACCACTTCCACTTTTAAATGGCAATTGTTAATTAAAGAGTTGATGAATCATCACGTAGTTTTGCAATTGTGCGAGGGAACCTACGCTGCGCTCCGAAGTGCCAAGGTTATTGGGTTCCGGCCAGTTTTCGCGGAGCTATCATAATGGGAACCCTCCGACACCACGCAGTAGGTCAAAACCAGGCGACTGCATGTAAATATATAGTCCCAGTTTCCAGTCTTGGATCTCATAGGCTTGACACCAGTAACTATTGATCCTTGTAATTCTTAATGCTGAAACAGTACATGATTCAAGTTTGTCTGCGTGAAATTTAAGAAGATTTAACTTACCAAAACATGTTTGTTGGAAATTGAATGAACCATCTTAAAGACCAAGCGTCATGCACACACAAACAGGTACTTAATTCAGTGTCAGAGGATGAACTGCTGGAGTTGGGTGTGCAGTAAGAAGCTGAGTATTGACCAACTTAACTCCTGAAGTGTCCATGAGCATAGACCAGAGGAGAAAATTGATGAGTAGATATGATTACGACTGTAATTCATGTAATTAAGGACGTGTATAATTAAGAGTTCTTGTCCTTGAAATAACTACAAGCGCGAACTAAGGAATTGTAATAGTCAGGAGCATTCGAAGTCACGATTTTCAAGTCACAGAGGTTGATGTTGTTGAATTGTTGATGTTGATGGTTCTCAATACCATCTCCCATCTCCCAATACCTGGCCATGGGTTTGAGGTTAAATGTTCGTAACTCCCGAAAACACACGGGATCGTATAGGGGAGGACCATAGAGTACAATAGAGTCGCAAAGTACTGGATCGCCGATGAAGTCACTTTTCGAGGCTGTTTTGTCCAGTTCTCCGGAGACTAGTGTGCGGCGACTAGCGATGACGCATACGCAGAGACTCGCGCTCAGCGCTCCCCACTCCCGACAGTCCCGACTCGGCTCCGTTCGTCGGCTAGACACACTCTGAACCAGCTAAAATAAGTAGGCCGGTAATAAGTCTGAAATTGAGTCCATATATGAATATTATCTCGGAGTAACATACATTAATGGATTCATTATGGCTTTGAATATCTATTTCAAGCAAAATTTGCACAAATTAATACCGATGGAATTAAAAAAGTCGAAAAAACACAAGCAGTCGTTGATTTCTCCATAAGCCACCGTGTAAAAAAATGCCGGTTCACACTTGGTATAAATCAGAAATTAAATCCCTGTATGAATATTATCCAGGAGTAATATACATCAATGGATTCATTATGGCTTTGACTATCTAATTATAGCAAAATTTGCACAAATTAATATTGATGGAATTAAAAAATGCCGAAAAAACACAGGCAGTCGTTGCTTTTCCCGTAAGCCGCCGTGATAAGAAATGCCGGTTGGTTCACACTTGGTATAAGTCAGAAATTAAATCCCAATATGAATATTATCCAGGAGTAATATACATCAATAGATTTATTATGGCTTTGACTACCTTTAAATAGCAAAATTTGCAAAAATGAATGCTGTTTGAATTAAAAAATACCTAAAAAACACAAGCAGTTCTTGATTTCTCCATAAGCCGCCGTGTTACAAAATGCCGTTGGGTTCACAAATGGTTCACTATTTTCGGAGCACACGCGGCTCGGAAACGCCTGTTCATGGATTGGCTTCATCGCCGCTCCAGTACTTTGCGACTCTATTGTACTCTATGGGGAGGACCAAAGACATAAAGACGGAGCGCTCGTATCTAAAAGCACGGGGAAAAAGTGAAGCCTGGTTTGGCGCTGGGTGCTTGTGTGAGTGTGTAAATGAGCGCGGGAATCCATGGCGGCAAACGGAAATTTGATTTGAACTTGTCCTCTTAATTTTTCCATATTTCTTCTTCGAAACGTATTTTAAATGCCTAAAACGAATATATCAAGAAAGTTGGGACTGCGTCCTATTGTATTACACCTACTCTTGCTTGTTAATAGGCAGTCATCTCAGATAAAGTTAGTTTTTCTTCTGCTGATGGTGGTTCTGCAGGTTCAAACAGGCCGTTACAGTTCTAGATCAACGTTACTCCCAAATGAAATTAATCGGTCGACGACGGACGGAAACTAACCTAGAGTTAAAAAAATATGAGTTTGTACCTGAATTTGGGCAAAAATCAACCTAAAATACTTTGTTTCCGCAATTATTTTATTCAGTTCCCGCCCTATATTTGAATTCAAACTTGTCCCGATTTCGCCGCCAATCCTCTAGCCAATAGTAGAGGTGGTTGAAAAGATGCTTTATTTTTTGCTTTTAGCCCTCCGTCTTTATGTCTTTGGGGAGGACTTATAAAAGTTGATTTTTTTACATGAGAAAGTGAATTTATTCTAGGCGTGGAATTTTCAGTTGAATATTTTGGCAAGTTTTATCGAAAGAAACAAATTTGTTCGGCAGAATCACATTTTAAATTAAGGAAAAAAGTATTAAATGCATGTCACTGTACTAAATGTAAGGGAGATAACCGGGAAACGTATGCAACCCGCCAAACGTAGCCCGGCGGCTTCCCTTCGTTTTTGGGAGATATTACTCACACACTCTCACACGTGTTCTCCAATGGCCAGGAATTCTAAGTAGGAATTGATGGTTCTGCTTAGAGTACCTATATTAAGAGAGTATGGCCACTGGGTCCCATTAGAGTACCTTTATAGACAGTACGGCCATTCGCATCTTTTTACTACAGGAAAACTGTTCCGCTTTTTGATTGGTCAACGAGTTTTTAGGCTTCTATCATGATGCTCATAGGGCATAGAGTACAATAGAGTCGCAAAGTACTGGAGCGCCGATGAAGCCAATCCATGAACAGGTGTTTCCGAGCCGCGTGTGCTCCGAAAGTGTGAACCAAGTGTGAACCCAACGGCATTTTGTAACCATAGAGTACAATAGAGTCCCTTTATACTGAGAGTCAAGACAATTTGAATCCATTTCTGATTGGTTCCCGTATTTTAGGCCTTCACAGTGTCACAAACGGGAATAAAGATTACAGTTTCACCGATTGCAAAGATTATAATCTGGAATGGACCGGGGAATTACGGGTTCGGCAAGGAACAAACGGAATGAGGGAAGGAACGAAGAAAGGAATTCGAGAATGGGCCGATCAAAGATTACGAAAAACGTTCGATTTCTGTAATCTTTATTCCCGTTTGTGACATCCATGAGCCGAATTGTCTTGACTCTCAGTATAGAGGGACTCTAGAGTACAATAGAGTCGCAAAGTACTGGATCGCCGTTGAAGTCACTTTTCGAGGCTGTTTTGTCCAGTTCTCCGGAGACTAGTGTGCGGCGACTAGCGACGACGCATACGCAGAGACTCGCGCTCAGCGCCATGGACCAAGAGAATAAATAAGGACTCCCAACTCCCTATTGAATCCTGAGTTAAAAACCGTTACCGCGCGCTCGCAGCGAACCTGGCAGAGGGTGCGGTGAACTAACGCCACAATGGTCCACGATCGTACCTCTATAGTATGTTATTCCATGCAATGTTCTTTGTTTATCTATGATTTATTAATTTGTTTAGATACTTTAATACATTTTACTTTCGCAAACTAATGAATGGTATAGATACATACCTTCTGCAGAGGCCAATGCGAAAGACTTTGATTTGAAGTATCTTATCAAAACACGAGCAAAGATGATTCAGTCAACTTCTGACGCAGAATCAAAGAGACTTGCTAATAATCAAATTAAAGGTAATGCTTGAAGTCAAGTATCTTTGATTTTGTGACACTCAGTTGATTTTTATCAGTACAACACTATTTCTCACTAAAAAGATTTCACTTAACAGAGAAGCGCCTTCGGCTAAAAGTACAATCCTGATTCCTGCTGCATACTACATACACACCTCCTTTGGCTTTCTCAACAGCAGTTGCTGCTGAGTAAAACGGTTAGAAAAAACACTTCACATTATTACCAGTTCATGAACCCGAAGACTGACGAAGATTGAAATGAAAATGGGAAACTTTTCACACTAAACTCTTCAAACTACAGGGCGACCACGAGGATACGAGGATCTAGAAACTTCTATGAGCACAAATCTACCTTGTATGAGCACCACTGAGGGATAAGCCTAAATAAGTGGTGCATGGAAATATAAACAGGAAGACCCAATCGTCGGTTTAGTTCACTACACCCTCTGCCAGGGAGCGCTGATGTCAGCGCTAACCGGAGTTGGTGGTCCTTATTTATTCTCTTGGTCCATGTCAGCGCTCCCCACCTCCCCACTCACGACTCGGCTCCGTTCGTCGGCTAGGTCCACACACATTGAACCAGCCAAGTAGGCCGGTAATAAGTCTGAAATTGAGTCCATATATGAATATTATCAAGGAGTAACATACATTAATGGATTCATTATGGCTTTGGATATCTATTTAAAGCAAAATTTGTACAAATTAATACCGATGGAATTAAAAAAGTCGAAAAAATACAAGCAGTCCTTGATTTCTCCATAAGCCACCGTGTTAAAAAACGCCGGTTGGTTCACACTTGGTATAAGTCAGAAATTAAATCCCTGTATGAATATTATCCAGGAGTAATATACATCAATGGATTTATTATGGCTTTGACTATCTAATTATAGCAAAATTTGCACAAATTAATATCGATGGAATTAAAAAATGTCGAAAAAACACAGGCAGTCGTTGCTTTTCCCGTAAGCCGCCATGATAAGAAATGCTGGTTGGTTCACACTCGGTATAAGTCAGAAATTAAATCCCAATATGAATATTATCCAGGAGTAATATACATCAATGGACTCATTATGGCTTTGACTACCTTTAAATAGCAAAATTTGCAAAAATTAATGTTGATTGAATTATAAAATACCTAAAAAACACAAGCAATTCTTGATTTCTCCATAAGCCGCCGTGTTACAAAATGCCGTTGGGTTCACAAACATAGGCGTAGCTAGGCCATTTTGCTGGGGGGGGGGCAGGCCCCCCACCACCTAGAGTACCTTTATAAACAGAGTATGGCCATTCGTATCTTTTTACTACAGGAAAACTGTTCCGCTTTTTGATTGGTCAACGAGTTTTTAGGCTTCATGATGCTCTTAGGGCCGTAAATAAACAAACAAGATGGCG